CTTTTAGTATAAGAAGACAGCTTTGCATATTAATTAGGCCCTCAGACACATGTTTGCTGAGGGTTAGCGATTGTGCGGTAAACACAGCAAGGCAGTGATAGAACCCTTAAACTGTAGCATGTACATTTCTAACACGCTTTATTGAGTTATCCAAGAAATAATCACCGTGCTAAATCCAAGTTAAACATGTGATGGAATACTAGGATGTTTAATTTTTAGAATGAAGTTATGCTGCACAGGTGGGTGGCCAGACACAGTGGCTAGAAAAGAAGGCCATGAAAAATTAATTTTACTCGGTACAAAACATGCACATAGCCCTTCTGTGAAGTTGGTAAGTGCATTCAGCCGTTTCACTAAGACACACATGATGCAGAAAGAGACTAAGTAAATTAGGGGGAGGAGGTTCGGAGGAGACCTCAACTAAAGTAACCGGGGTTGGTAAAGTTCATGCAAATTAAGACTGTCTTTCAAAAACAAGCGTAAATCCTATTACTTCATCCTCAGAGATTCCATTGTGAGGGCTCAACAGATGGCCACTGGGGCCAGGAATTCATCTCCTTTCTAAGCTCTCAGGCTGCAGGCAAGTCCAGCAAGGCCAAATTTAGGCCATTCCGGTACTCAGGAAATCTTGGCAATCCTGGTGCTCTCCCTGCCTTGGGAGAGAAGCACTGACCCAGTCTTCACTGTTAGAGACACCAGGACTATCTGGTGGTTGAAGGGCTGGGCACAGTAAAAAGCACAGGCCTCGCAAGTGATGACAGGAGGATGAATTCCTAAGCCTGTTAAGGATCGGAAGACTTGAGTTCTAAATTGCAGATCTGTCTCTACAATTAAACACCATATATAAGTGACTTCACCTCTCGGTGCCTTAATTACCTCATCTGTCACGTGAGACTACAGGACCAGAGGACCCTGAAAACCTCTTTCAACTAATATTCAAAGTTGCCCAGCAAACATGGAAGCAACCACATCATCTTTTTCCTCCTCCTGTACATACACCTTTGTTTATTCATTCAACAAATATTTGTGGAGCACCTATTAAGGGGCAGGCCTTATATTATGTCTCAAAGATTCAAAAGTGAGCAAGTTCTACCTTTTACCCCCATGAAATGCAACGCCTGGCGTGGAAATGAAGTGAGGAGACAGAGACAAGAAGTTGAAAACTGGGTAGATTAGAAGGGGTCAAGTCTTGAATGTCATGTTAAGAAACGTGATCTTGATCCCGAGGGCAATGGGAGACACTGAGGTTTTTTCCATGTGAGCTGATGTGATCAGATTCGTGCTCTGATCGTCTGTGGAGACTAAGTTGGAGAGAGAGAGCCCTGAGCCCTGAACAACTATAGCTGTAACCAGAATGGAAAGAAAGGGAGCCCAGTGAAGAGAACCACGAGGAGCTGACTGGGGGCGGGGGCGGGGACCGCTCAGGGGCAGAGCGCACGTGTAGCATGCGCAAGGTCACGGGGGAGGTGACGAGTTCAGTTTGGGGGTCTCTGGCTTCAAGCTTCCCAAAGGAGCATCGGGTGTTTGAGTCTGGATCATCGTCCAGAGAATGAAATAGCAGTTGGTTCTCTTGATCAACGACGGGAGACTCTCTAGTAGTTCTTATCTATTTGGAAATGATAGAACTCTTAAGAGATCTTTAAGAGCCCAGTTCTCACTGCAGAAAAACATGTGCATGCACAGATATTCAGAGAATCCATAGACCCCTGAAGTCCATCCATAGACCCACAGGGGTCCAGGAATTCCAAGGGAAGACTCCCTGCCAGGGGTGAAAAGAAGACAGGGGTGGGAAAAGGAAGTAACTCAGAGCTCCTTGCCCCGACTAGATCAGAGGAATGTGGAAAACAATTCGATTGCTTTGAGTAAAAAGTAGCAGCAATGACAGACAGCGGAAATGGCAAAAGACCGGCTGGATGCTGACCACAGCAGTTTCACCTTCCTGAACTGTCAGCTCAGCCACGTTTTCTAAGCCCCTCGAATGCACGTGGTTCGTTCTTACCAGTGGTATGTGAGGAGAAGGGACATGTCGCTCTGCCCCGAGGCGGTAACGCTGGGTGTGCGTTTTCCATGCCTTCTCTGTGAGCCTCTCCTCTGGTGGATCCAGAGGTCAGGGACTGAGCGTGGCTTCTTCACAAAATGCCAACAGCCAGGATCCCTAGCTTGAGACACCCCAATCCCGATTTGATGTATCAAACTGAGATGGGAGTGAGCAATATGCCTTTTACATTAACCACTGAAATCTTGGGACGTGATATAGAAGCTCATGCTAATTACCCGTATCAATAAAGTAAATATCAGTGATAATAATAATATCCATCATATGTAACACAGTCCACAGGTTAAATAATTTTATACTATCTGCTTTAATTTTCTTTATAGCACTATTGTTACCTGACAATATCTTATGTGTTTATTTTCCTGTTTAAAGTCCCTCAAACCTCCTACACCATAATTTCCATGCAGGCAGGGCCCCAGTTTTGCTCACTGCTATATCCTGTTTCTAGATCCGTGCTCAGCATATTACAGATCGTAACTAAACGTCTATTGACTAAATGAGTGAATAAATTATTTCACACGAGCCTCTTTTCATCTGAAGGTATTTTTCAAAAAGGCACATCTTCCATTTATATCTATATCAACAAAAGTGGTGGTGTTGGGAGGCGAGGAGTTGGGGTCTAACCTGGAGCAGCAATTGGGAGAGATGCTTTGAGGCCACTACTGCTATTACATTCTCTCAGATAGGAGGCAGGAATGCCCTGTTGCTCAAACAGTGAAACACAGTCTTGGGTCAAGAGATGCTAGAAGGCAAAAATAAATTACAGCCCATTGTCTTGGAGCAACAACTCTACTTATTGGTAAGTAAGTTAAGTATTTATATATGGAATTGAAATAAATGAATTTGTAGGCTAAAACTTGATGTTTTGAAGAAATTTTATTTATCCTTGTAGGAGACCATTTCAGGACCTCCCTGGATGAAGGCATTCTCCTCTCTCTGTCATTAGAGTGACTTAAGAAGAATCTTTGAAGAGCACTGATTTAGATTAAAAAGTCTCAGTTTGGGAGAAGAAAGACCTTAGTATTCGGCTGCTAACCCTATGACTTTAGAAAAAATTTAATCACTATGAAACCGCTATTTTTGTTTGTACATGAAGACAATACCTATCTAGAAGGAGACCTGTGGAGAGTAAGGTGATGAACAGAGTAAAAGACACAGAAGTTACGCACCTTGCTCAGGGTGACATAACAAGGGAACGGTTGAACTAGATTTTAAATCCACACCTGTCCTTCTCAAAGCCCTTGGCTTTTATAGACAGCTACTTAGAGCAAGTGTGGGACTGTCTTCTCACAGACTGAAAGTTCAAGGATAATTAAACAGAGAAAGCTAAATATTCTGTTGGGTTATTTTTAGCTCCAGTTTTAAATTTTACATTGCTCAGATTAATCTTATGTCATCCCGGACTTCCACAATCTCATTGTACGATTTTTCTGTGGTGGAAGAATGATATGCAGGATTGGGCATAGCCATTATTCATCCCAGATTTTCTGGGACGGCCTTTATTTCAAAATTCCACACCACTAAAATGCCCTGAAAAAGTCATAATTTCAGCATCCAGACTTTGCACCAAAAGCAGCACAAAATACAATCAGGAAACACGGTCACCATAGATGTTCATACATAGGAGGGTCACGGTGTACTTGGATGTGTGTGGGTTTATCAGCGGAGATCACAAGATAGAAACATTGTAGGACCACTGCATTGGAAATACCTGATTTTGATCTAGTAAATCTTATGATGGTTAATTATCAGCAATCCGTATTTTTTTTAAACAAGTTAACAAGCTCTATGGGTGATTCACATGCACGAGTTTTAGAATTCCTGATTAAGGAAATGATCTCCGTAAGAAAGAGTCTCACCTATCAAAGATAGCCACGGGGCATTTTCTATTAGAGCCTTTGTAACCAATTAGTGACTGAAGTTTGAAAAGCACCACTTAGAGTTACTTGTAGAAAGAAATGATGCAGTGATGCAGGCCCTTCTGTGAGCATCCTTCTGTGCACGGTGGCAGCACCTATGCAGAAAAACTGTCACCTCCCAAAGGGACCAGAGCATTTTCTGTCTCCCATTCTGATCAGTCAGTGCTTTTATTAAACCAGATGACCCTGCAGGTAGGATGGAGACGACGTTCATGCATTTACCACACTGAGATTTACGGTAAGCAATGCGACCTGGCGACCACCCATCACTGGTGGCAGCAGCTTTCTCTTAGGGACAATAATCATATTTGGGGAGGTTGTCTGCTATTAGAACCCACCTAACTCAAAGCAACCAAAACTATTACTGATACGATTTTAATTAAGAGCTAATATTTAATGCGCTTTTTACATTCTCAAGGTGTCTTTTCAACTGACAAAACATCTTACTTTGGGTCATAAGCTATATAAAGACCTATATATATATTTTTTAAATATTTTAAAAACTTCCTAGTTTTAGTATCTAGCAGAAAGAGTAAGTTCTGAATGGACTTGGATGGGGATAATTAAGGAACAGAAAACCTTAATTTAAATATTTTGTAAACAAATAACAATGAATAGTAAATGGACAAGGAAAAAATCTCCGATGCAGATGCAGGAAGGCGTGTGTCCTAGGAAGTGAGCTGGCCATAAGCGTGACCTCTGTGCTTTACTGTGGTCATACAGGTTCCAGGGAAAATGGGCTCCCAATGAGTAAAATGAATGAGAAAGTGGTAAAATCTCAGGCAATCCCACATATTTTCCTGAAAAAGTTCAATAAGCTGCAGAACCTCCTTAGAGAGACCCTGGGGGAACGCCCAGTGATCAGGCGTCACTGAAACGGCCCACCTCCCCTCTCCTAGCACTTCTGTGTTAATAGCTCCATCCCTCAAGAGCCCATTTGAAACCTGAAACGTTACTTTCCTTGTGGGTTACTTTATACGTTGGCATAAAAATTCACTTTCTAGAAGATGGAACGACATCCTTACCGGTTTCGCAGCTGGGTCCGGTGAAGCCTTGCGGGCAGGCGCACACGTTAGCAGCAATGCAAGCTCCTCCGTTTCTACAGCCATCTTTGCAAAACGCTGAAATAATTCAGACACACGATTTTAGCACTTTAGAAGTGAGTCGCTCAAGATACTCCAAACCGCTTTTCTTTATGGCCTTGGAGATGGAGACATCAAACGCTAAGTGCTATTAAAGTTTCATTTTCATAGAATACTTCCAGATAGGTAAGAAGCTTCAACACAATGTATAGAACATTATTCTTTCCAATGTTAAATATTTTCACCTGTAAAAGAAAATACTGAACTTTCTTTTAACAAAAAACAGTAACCTTACACACCAGGAAGAGCATTTGAATTAGTATTGCATCTCATTGTAACAAACTGGCTTCAAATGAAACTTAAAAAAATGATAGCTAGCCTAGACAGTTTTCTTAAGGAATAAACCATGATCTAGAGAATGAGATAACAAAGTTTTTAAGAAAGGATTGAACCCTCTGAGGCTCTGATCATGCTACACGCTGTCCAAAGTATCAAAACACTAGAGAAATGCCCATTCTTCAGAAAGTTCTAAATCAGTCCCACGATGAATGAGCCAATAATGAGAATTTGCTAAAGACTCTTCAGGAAGAGCCTTGCATTCCTCTGCCAAGGACAGGTCAGGATCCAAGGTCGAGGGCAAAGGCATTGCATTGCCTGTTGTGTTAGAGTGGGTTTGTGAGTGAGAAAGTGCTTCTACGAGTAGAAAAAGGAGCCAAGCTCTGAGCCATTGCAGGAGCTGCCTTCAAAACAGGTGAGAAAGTCAAGATGGGTGAGATTGAGGAAGTGCCCTTAGAAGCTTCTATTTCCACTTCAGCTCATTCCTTGGCTCTGAAAGGCTCAGGACTGTTCCTCAGCCTGGCAGGGTTCGTCATGGACGGACTAGACCAGCTTGTTTCAGGCACTGGGGCAAAAGCTTTCCTCTAGTTTTCTGCCACGTGCTTCCTCTACTTAGTCAGGATGTACTTTATCAGAGTGGCCAACTGTAGAAATCTGGGATTCTGCTAGTGTGTTAAAGGAAGGGGCCCAAAGCGGCCATTTGGTTTTTTTGGTTCTGGGTCCTAATCTGTCTTCATTTTAGGTGAAAAGAATACCTTAGCCACCAAGGATTTGCAAAGAGATTGAGAATTTAAACCTCATAAAAAGAAAGGGTACGTCCACCAGACCATGTGTGTGTCTTCCTCGGGGTAATCTGGAAGGTTGCTGCCTGCTGACAGAGGACAGGACTCAATGATCCAGATCCTACATCTAAATTACTCATCTCTCAGCTTTGGACATTCCCAGCAGAGATGCACACGGGAAAGGAGTCTTTACGCAGGCAACCTGCAGTCCTAACTTCCAGAAGAAATTTATAGATCCTTGAAAGTTCTCCTTCCTTCAAAGATAAGAATTAGCTGTCTGCATCTGTTCATGACCTCAAGAGTTCTTTATGCTATATACCTTATTCTTCACCTTGATTGGGAGTGAGAGTCAAATACGAGTAAGAGTGAGAAGTTGTTGGGCTCCCAGAAGAAATCTTAGCTCTCTGAAATCTCGATGCTTTGGGGAAGTCCTAAGGGTTCTCTTACACTATACTATGGACTTTAAAAGTCTAGCTTTTCTCAAGACTGCCCTAGTTTCTGAGGAAATCTTTGTAGGATTTAGACCCTCAAATGAGCAGATTACTTTACAACGCGCTAACTTACAGATTTCCGTAGACTTTGACAAACCATCATAATCTCTGGCCCACCTATATTTGCATCCAATTTATTATTGTAGTTCAGGTCTTAGGCCCATGCTCATGGGCCACTGGATTAACAATCATTTCTTGTTATTTCCTACTTCCCATATGCATGGTGTCAAAGAAAATTAATAGTAGTAAACTCCAGGATAATGAACACAGCGTTTTTGAGGAATGGGCAGTTTTGAAGCTTAAAATGCCTGTGTTGGACAAACCGTAAATAAACTTATGTGACATAATATGGAATATGGACTGTCTCCTATGGAAGTTGGTGGGGTTTCTAAAATAGACCCTCTCTTTTCCTTGTGAAGTAGGAGGTAAGCTCATCTGACAAAGGAAAAGGAGGGCATGGGGGG